AACCAACTAAATTAAACAACCAATTTCTGGTCATCTTCACTCATAACGTGCTAGCGTACGGCTTGTAGTTTCCTGCCAGAGTTTGCGCTTATGTACTTTGGTTCGCTGACCCTTCTGACCTTTAACTGCAGGTACCCAGACTCATGGTATCAGGACATCACCTCTAACAAGAAGTTCTTCTCCCTCGCTGCCACCTTCAGAGGAGGCATTGTGGGAATGATTGTGGCCGAGATCAAAGGCCGGACCAAAGTACACAAAGAGGTACGATGCTCAGCCCTGTTTTCACACAAAGCACACACCGCTGAGAAGATGTACTCTGCAGAGATGACAGTCGTTAGTTTGGAAATGTCTAAAGTGAGACACATGCACGTCGTGGAATCTGTTTTCAGGCTGCTAATTAGATGAACCAGATGCCCCCTGACTGAGTTATTACACAAGGTTAAGAAATGAGGGATAACCAGGTGATGAGAAAGGAGCATAAACAATGAGGAAGATTAAAGAAAGAACGTTTTTCATTCATTCTATCACATCTTTAAAATGAATCGGGCTGCTACTACTACTGTGTCCTGTTCTGAATTTGGGTAAATGTAAACCGCTGATATGTCTAACATTTGCAAAGTCTTTTGACAATCATACTATGCAAAATGGCTCTATGAAGTGGTGATAGTGAAGTTCTTAAGGGGGGGGGGGGAATAAACGACACGAATATGCAATTTACTCGCCTGCGAATATTTTCGCCTCGAAGCTATTCATAGTGGCAGTGATGCGAGTTTGTGAGAGTTGCATCACTTTGTCAATAAAAGGTATGAACAGATTGGCGCAGGCAGAGGACCAACTACCAGCATCCTATTGACCCAGAGCAGCGTCTGGCAGGCTGTCTGAAGTCAACTGTTGTAAAGCCTAAGCTAATGTAAGGTAATTTATTGAGTTTCCTTTAAAATGCCCTGAGTGAATTTAAGTTTACTCTGGTAAACAGTGTAAATATGTCCAGGGCTTTTATTACTGCTGGATTACTGCAATTAAAAGTATTCCACTGGGCTGATATCAGAGATCTGCTCCTCTCACTTTAGGCCACAGGTTGTCATAAACATACACAAAGTGAATTAACTTCATTTCTCTTTGGAAGAGTATTTGAATTTTCGAAGATTTACCTTCCAAGGGTAATTTGCCTGAGCAAAGATTAAAGATGGTGTGCAGATGAGGGAGCATACAGAGCAAATGACCCAACTGAAAGGTTTTTTTTATTATTAAATACTGAATTGAATGTAGTTTTTCATCTAAATTGTGGATGGTAGAAGAAAACTTTAATGTTCATCCTAGTGTGTGTGTGTGTGTGTGTGTGTGTGTGTGTGTGTGTGTGTGTGTGTGTGTGTGTGTGTGTTAGGATGGAGACATCCTGGCCTCCAGTTTCCCTGTGGACACACAGGTAGCCTACATCCTGAGCCTTGGAGTGGTCAAAGACTTCAGGAAACATGGCATAGGTACCTTTCCCCACCGGCTCTCACACACACTCACACATTGTAGGACATCTGTTTAGACTCTTGCTCAAACCTGTACGACAGGGGTCTCAAACTCAAGGCCCGCCACGTCATTTTATGTGGCCTGTGAATCCGCCAGCAAAAAAACAAAAATATTACAAATATCCCCATAGTCGAAGTTATGAGATAGAACATCAAAATGATGAGATAGAAAGTCATAATGATGAGATAGAAAGTCAGAATGATGAGATAGAAAGGCAGAATGATGAGATAGAAAGTCAGAATGATTCAGGGACCTCCTAGACTGTGGGGAAACCGCATGTGATCCAGCCTCTTACACAAAGACAGCTGGTTTCAATTATAAACAAAGCATTTAATACCTCTGATGCTAAAACAATTGCATAGTGAAGTACATTATTTACAATTACACAGAATATGACCTGCTCACCCCGAAAACGTTACCACCCACACAGTGGAACAGGAGCAAGAGACCGGAAGTTCTTTCTCTCCCGCCTTACATAGTTCAAAAAACATCCCATGATGTCCGTAGTTCCTATTGTCTAAATCCAGCTGGCTCCTCCTTCTCGCAGGACCCTCGCACGGGTATGTCCTGTAATTGCCTGTCTAGAAATCTATCTTTCCCTTACTCCCAACATACTATTCTTTACAGTTTAAAACATTTAATGACTGTCTTTTATGGCTTAACACTTCTATGATAAACATTCTATATAAAGATAAGGATTTGTAACTTTTGGCAAAAACTTCACAAGTTTCACAAGCATAGATATAAAGGTGCTACTAAGATACGCTTCTAACTACAAATCACTTCTAACTACAAATTCTAAAACACTTCTACAATTATGAATCTTCTAATTATGTATTCCAAAACACTTCTAATTATGATTTCTTAATTATGAATCATTAAACACTTCTATTATACTTTCTTAAAACACACTTCTCAACCCAAATTTCCTACAAAAGGCAAAATGATGAGATAGAAAGTCAAAATGATGAGATAGAAAGGCAAAATGATGAGATACTTAAACACACAGTCCTAGAAGCAGCTCTTTGGCTGGTTACTGCACATTTGAAATGGAAATGTATTGTGAGTACATTGAAGACTACTTTAAACGTGGCTTTACAACACATGAAATACTTCACGTGGGATTGTGTAAACGCACCCTTGAAAGGATTTTAAGCTTTGAACAAAGTTATCGTATTAACTTGTGTTTGATATTTGTCTTTGATATTTTCTTTAATAGTTTGATCTTTGATAGAGTAATGTGGGTTTCTTAACCCTAAATTAAAAGGATTTAAGTTATAATAACAGAAATGTGCTTAAATATATTTTTACATTTATATAACTATATATATCATGTACAATATGTTTACACTTGAATAAACAATAATCAAATGCAGAGAGTTATTGAACAATATGTTAGGAGTAGTTACATTTACAACTGGCCCTTTGTGGGCGACCATAATGCTGATGTGGCCTGGAGTGAAAATGAGTTTGAGACCCCTGCTGTACGACAACCCCTACATGCCTGTCCAACTGCTGAAACACAGAGGAAGTCGCTCGTTGTAGTTTTCCCCGCTTATTGGCAATGTGACTTCCACTTTCATGCGGCTTTATGGACGAGGATTAACTCATAACTAATAGATTTATCGTCCATAAATCCACTCAGAAATCGTGGAAAAACAGACGCTCCTCTCGACTTCAGAACTTGCCTGAGAATCATCACCTTTTTTCAGTTTTCTTCAGTATCGGAGTAATCCACTGACATCCACGGGTACAGTAGAACAGGAACCGCATGCTTTTAATGGCGCCCATTTGCCAAAATGTTAACAAATATAGGCTAAAAACAAAACAAGGCTCAAGTCATAGACAGATGTCACAATGATGATGGATGAGCGGATTTAAATGTATTGAAATTTTACAGTGCACTGGTCTAGCCAAAGTATCAGGTCTTTATCCACTCTATAAATTCAAACGTGAGAGCACACACCAGCTGAACAAGCCTCTGGTTGGAGGCTCATTCCTGTCACAGCCGGACTACGGTGATACCATTTGCATGTCCCACGAGTTTTGCCTTACTCGACCTACTTTTGTCATGCCACTTTGAGATATGTTTGAAACTCAGGCTACAGCACGTCAGTTGGTCGGTCGGTCTCCGCTCGCGATGCGCAGGACGTGGCATTGGTACATTTTGATGTACGAGGCCGTTCTAGGCAGGTTAGCCACGTAGCTCTGAGTTTGTATTTGTTCAAAATACCTCCAGTCTTCGGTCCAACAATCGGCAAGGCTTTAAATGTGCCGACTGAGACTGGGTAAAAAAGGGAGTCTGTTTTATTTTGGCTCTTGGAATGACCTGCAGACTAGACTCATTCTACACCCCCCCCCCCCCCCCCCCCCTCCCTCCTACCAATCCAGGCTCCCTACTGCTGGACAGTCTGAAGGAGCACATCTCAACCACGGCCCAGGACCACTGTAAGGCCATCTACCTTCACGTCCTCACCACCAACAACACTGCCATCCACTTCTACGAGAACAGGGACTTCAGGCAGCACCATTACCTGCCCTACTACTACTCCATACGAGGCGTCCTCAAAGATGGATTCACATACGTGCTCTACATCAACGGGGGTCATCCGCCCTGGACGATATTATATCCTTTATGTGGAAGCGGGAGCGAGGAGACACTCGCTCACTATTACATATATATATATATATATATATATATATATATATATATATATACTCACTCATATTTCCACTTGTCACGACGTCTGTGTGGACGTCCTTCAGCGTGAGTGGAGGAGCAGCATAACAGAAGCTCTAAGCTGCTTATATTTTACTTATTACTTACTTAAATACGATTAAAACTACTGATGACAGGATTTGTTTTAATCAAAGCAAATGATTAAATAAAAATTAGTGCTGGGCAAGTTAACGCGTTATTATCGCGTTAACGCATTCATTAATTAACGCCGACAATTATTTTATCGCGCTTCAACTCATTTTTAAAATGTATTATTATTGTAACAGACTGTCATGTTTATCGTTTGTATTGGAGATATGATGTCCCTTCAGGGTTGCCGTAGAGAAAAGGCGACTTCCGCTTCTGGTCGAGGGGGGGGGGCAGAAATAAAGAGAGAAGCTGCACCAGCTGTTGCTCTCCCTGGAGACTACTGGACATCGCTGCGGTAAAGTCAGCAGACACTCAGATCTCCGTGGTCAACTCAGCAGACACTTACATGTTAGTGCACCTATATGCTGAAATTCACGGTAAACACATTTAAACGGCACAGATCGGGAGCGAGCGAAGGACTTTGAAAGTTAGCGGAAAGATTAACGTGAGACAACATCCGGTTTTCAGAATAAGATGCCAACAAAGTATGAATTATATTCACATTAAGTATGAAACATGCTACCTGCATCTCGTGAACCAAATGTTATTGCCCTTTTGTTCATATAGCAGTACTTTTAAAATAAAAGTGCTTTTGAATTCATTATTGAACTTTGCCATAACAATGCGATTAATCGCAAAAAATCCAGGCGATTAATCGCGATTAAATATTTTAATCGTTGCCCAGCACTAATAAAAATACAATAATTTATTTCCTAATCATTTGAATTGGTGTGTTTTATGTGAATAACTACAATAGATGACAATAACAAAGTAAAACAATAACATTTCAAATTTTTGATGGTTTTCACCGACTTCGGGAGATTTGAAATTATATTCCGGAATGATGGTGAAAAAGAGAAAATCGTAATTGTCAGGTCAGACTTTTAAAGAAATCGGAAAACGGATTCAGCCGAGGAAGTTACAATGAGTGCATCTCTAAATATAAATGTTCCCATTTTCTTTGACCTCCTGTCCCACTGACTATATCCAGCACATCGGTTCCACCCTGGCCAGCCTGAGCCCCTGCTCCATCCCTCAGAGGCTGTACCGGCAGGCCCAGTCCCTGCTGCGCTCTCTGCTGCCCTGGTCCAACATCGCCTCCAAGACCGGCATACAGTACAGCAGAACAATGTGACGATGACAAGGTGGGCGGGAGCTGTGCTGACAGGAGCATACATTAGGAGCTAACGAAGTGACTTTTTTCTTTCTGTCTATTGATGGATGTTTGATTTTCCTCTTTGTCACTCTTCTGTTTCTTTCTTTTTTGCAGGAGTGCCACCGTTTCTCATCAGTCTTCCCCTGTACACACCCAGATGTACGCGCACACTCGCATCCTCGTAACAGCGTTCCCCACCCTGTGTTTGTCGCGGGACTCAGGTTCGACCTGCGTTTGACCGCTCACACGCTCGAATTATCCCCGATTTCCAATGCGCGCTTGTCGCTGTTCCCATGAGATTTGGGTTTGCCAGCCGTAGGTCCGCTAAACAGGGTTGTCGCATTGCGATGTTGGATTTCACGCTGGCAGACGGGTGTGATCTGGTGAAACCGTGGGATTTCTTTGAAAGATTCTGTCTCAATTCCCCCATATATACTACTACTACACTATCCCATAGTTACTAAAGTAACCTGTGTACTTGTGTATGCCAAAGCCGAGCAGTGTGGGACCCGCTTTCTCCCCAGGCAGCGGAACAAAGCGGAGGACCTGGTTCAGATAAACGACGGACGGCAAACACAGGTCGTAGTTTTGGTGTGAAAAGGGTGTAACACATACACACACACACACACATGCACACACACTGGGAACCCGACAGAGACTAAAGGTTCAACCCTGCCTATCGTTCTGTCTCCTCTCCTCCTGTCCACCACTGTCACAGAGACTATGTATACTGTTTGTATATTATATATACTAAGCTAATATATAAATTTATCTCTATGTATGTCTGTTCTATGCTGTCGGTAGGCCTAGTTCTAAGATTACCCACCCTGTCCCCTTTTTTTAAGTGTAGACTGAATCCAGATTCAATTCCACTTTGTAAAGTAGAGACTCAAGAACACGTTAAGTTGAATTGCTACTTGAATCCAGCTACGCTAGCAGGCTAGAAGGGTAGAGTAAAGCTAACTACACGCAGGAAACGTTGGGTCACAATGTAGATGGGGTGATATATTAAGTAGCAACGTCAAAAGGGATTCTTCCCTTTTGAAAATTCACGATATCGTCTGATTCGCTGTGTGCAACAACTGAACTGGGATCTGCACTCGTGACATGGGTACAGAAACATATGAACATGTTATGTATTTACTGCAGGCGCAAAGTGTACAGACACCTCACACACCACGCGGTTCTGCAAGTCCGGTGACTTTCTACGCCGTTTCCAAATGTTGCCCGTGTGTAGTTCATGCAAGAGTGAGGGGGAGTCGCTCGGGTCCATATTTTAGAGGTTTTAAATGGCCGCAGCCCTGTCTCGTCTGCTCAATGGCTGTAAAATTGCTGCTAATGTAGAGAAATGTCCACTTTGTTGTTGTTTTTTTCCAGATTTTTTAAAATACAGCCAAGATCGGATTTTTAGGTGGGCCTGTAAGTAGAGATGAGACAAATTAAGTAATGCTTCCCCAACACACACGTCACACACCTCGTGTGCCTGCCTGCATGCAGGTGTGTGTGTCCGTGTGAGTATTTATGCACACACGGTCCGAATTTAGCCCCCGGCGAATGCCAAATGTTGGTCCGATCAGTCCGCGGAGAGACGAATGAGTGAAGTTTTCCCGACATGTTGACTGTGAGTTTGTCAGTGAGCGACATTGTAGTTTCTCAATTCTAATGCGTTCTGTTGCACCTGATCCAATGTATACGTCAGTCAGCAAATAGATTTGATACGGGGCATAGCACTGAAAGGGGTCAGGGTATCCGTGTGACAAGATGTGGGTTTGCTGTAAAAAGGTGAAGGTTCATCCGTTAACGAGTCGGGTAACTCAAAAGTAAATTCCAGACATTGTGTATGCAATAAATTTGTTTCATTTGACTGATTGTAAAGACTGAGTCAGTGTGACCATTCCTGCTGTATGACTATTTTATTATCGTTATTATTTATACCTTTTCTTTGTGATTGTCATATTACATTGTCATAAACCTGAGCTTTGTTTTCATTCACAATATGCCAACTGTTTGTCTTAAACTTAAATACTCTGGTGATGTAATATTGCGCTTCCATGCATTTGATTGGACTTGAGAGAGATTTAAAGATGGAATGGTTCAAAGCAAGGCAGCAGAGATCTCCTAACCTCCCAGAATTCAACATGATAGCATCTTTTGTTCGTCTCACCATAGAGAGTTCTAACATGAACCCAACATGAAGGGTTATACCTAGAACATTCTGTGGAAGGTTCCATCCAGAAGCCCCTATGAGAGGTTCTATACAGAGTACCCTTCTGTGGTGTAATGGTCCCATCCAGAACCTCTCCGAAAGGTTCTATTCAGAACCTTTTCCACATTCAAAGGGTGCATTCAGGGGGTTTTTACCGAAGGACACTTTGATATTCCAAGTGTTTTATCTAGAACCCACCCAGGGCAGTTAATCAACAACAATATAGATACATTGTGAAAGGCTTCCATTGTGTTCTTAACACCTAAAACATCTGGTGCCACACGGGCAGGATAGCAGCGTTAGCATCCTGCCAAAACATTGCATCTCAAGAACCTCAGCACTTGTAGGAAAAGGATAACTTTTTTCTTTTCCATTAAGCCTCGTTAATTTTTAATATTGAGTGCATATGAAGTAGCATTACTTGGTCCAGGACCATGAAGGTTTTTCTGCACATGATTTCAACTATGGGTTAAAAGAAAGAAGGAAAGAAGCAAGTTTTGGTTCCCGCACACTACCAGTTTGTTTCTTGTTCTCTACATTGTACATTTTGTTGTTAATGAACTGATGCTCTTGTTGGGGGCAATTTGAGGAATGTGTTTGTGGCTGAAGGAACATTTAGAAGGACTTTTTTCTCTTCTCAAACCTTTGAGAAAACCTCAACTTCCCATGTTAAGCTGCCTTGGGGAGACAATAACGACACCGGATTTTGGCTTATGCTTCAGTTTGAAATATTCAGTACCCCAAAGAGACAAATTCAAACTGATCTTATACACAGAAATAAAATGTAGGTCTCTAATGTGGTAAATCTGATATGTTTGATAGATGGACAGCCACAACATTAAAATGTCCAATCATTGGTCTACTTCATACTCGTACTATCTAACCATTAGTGTGGGGTTGGTTTCCAATGGAAAGCTCAGACTGGATCTATTTTTTCTTCTAGTAAACTGATATCAAAAGGCCAAGAGAACCATTTGTGGTACGCCGCTGCAGCAGCCATTGTTTGTGCTGCTGTCCAACGGCCACGAAATTGTTCTCAGTATTGCAGACAATCTAAAACTATCATTAACGCTCAGTCACCATAGAACTGATGAAGCATGCAGCGCACAGATTTCTTTTCAAATTTAACTGTCAGAAGAATACATTGCCAGCGTCCAAACTTCATTGATTTTTCGTTTTTGTGATTGGCACAAAGTATTGAGTATTTAAAAAAAAGTGGTAAAAATATTGATGTAAACACTTCATGGCAAAAGATTGCTTTATAATATTCACCAAATTTAGGCTATTCAAATTTAAGGTTGACATGCCAGGACACAAAGTCAGGCGGGTTCATCATCTGGAAACCACGAATGTCCGACTGAAAGTTGATAATCCACCCTATTGTTGGGCTACTTCAGTCTGACAAAATTAAAACTAAAATTCCAGAGTGCCAGAGCAGTTATGAGCTGCTTTTTGGAAGTCAACCTCCTTTCTGTCTGTGTAGTGACTTCTCTTGAAAGTCCTTTTTCACGAGGTGTGTTTTCTTTTATAGTTGTGTGAAAAAGTGTTTGCCCCCTTCCTGATTTCTTATTTTTTTGCATGTTTGTCACACTTAAATGTTTCAGATCATCAAACAAATTTAAATATTAGACAAAGATAACACAAGTAAACACAAAATGCAGTTTTTAAATGAAGGTTTTTATTATTAAGGGGGAAAAAAAATCCAAACCTACATGGCCTTGTGTGAAAAAGTGATTGCCCCCTAAACCTAATAACTGGTTGGGCCACCCTTAGCAGCAACAACTGCAATCAAGCGTTTGCGATAACTGGCAATGAGTCTTTTACAGTGCTGTAGAGGAATTTTGGCCCACTCATCTTTGCAGAATTGTTGTAATTCAGCCACATTGGAGGGTTTTCGAGCATGAACCGCCTTTTCAAGGTCATGCCGCAGCATCTCAATCGGATTCAGGTCGGGACTTTGACTAGGCCACTCCAAAGTCTTCATTTTGTTTTTCTTAAGCCATTCAGAGGTGGACTTGCTGGTGTGTTTTGGATCATTGTCCTGCTGCAGAACCCAAGTGCGCTTCAGCTTGAGGTCAGGAAGCTGACCTCAAGCTGATGGCCGGGCATTCTCCTTAAGGATTTTTTGGTAGACAGCAGAATTCATGGTTCCATTTACCACAGCAAGTCTTCCAGGTCCTGAAGCAGCAAAACAGCCCCAGACCATCACACTACCACCACCATATTTTACTGTTGGTATGATGTTCCTTTTCTGAAAAGCCATGTTACTTTTACACCAGATGTAATGGGACATACACCTTCCAAAAAGTTCAACTTTTGTCTTGTCAGTCCATAGAGTATTTTCCCAAAAGTCTTGGGGATCATCAAGATGTTTTCTGGCAAAACTGAGACGAGCCTTTATGTTCTTTTTGCTCAGCAGTGGTTTTCGTCTTGGAACTCTGCCATGCAGGCCATTTTTGCCCAGTCTCTTTCTTATGGTGGAGTCATGAACACTGACCTTAATTGAGGCAAGTGAGGCCTGCAGTTCTTTGGATGTTCTGGGGTCTTTTGTGACCTCTTGGATGAGTCGTTGCTGCGCTCTTGGGGTAATTTTGGTCGGCCGGCCACTCCTGGGAAGGTTCACCACTGTTCCATGTTTTCGCCATTTGTGGATAATGGCTCTCACTGTGGTTCGCTGGAGTCCCAAAGCTTTAGAAATGGCTTTGTAACCTTTTCCAGACTGATAGATCTCAATTACTTTGTTTCTCATTTGTTCCTGAATTTCTTTGGATCGCAGCATGATGTCTAGCTTTTGAGGATCTTTTGGTCTACCTCACTTTGTCAGGCAGGTCCTATTTAAGTGATTTCTTGATTGAGAACAGGTGTGGCAGTAATCAGGCCTGGGTGTGGCTAGAGAAATTGAACTCAGCTTTCCAAAGATGTGATAAACCACAGTTAATTTATGTTTTAACAGGGGGGGCAATCACTTTTTCACACAGGGCCATGTAGGTTTGGATTTTTTTTTTCCCTTAATAATAAAAACCTTCATTTAAAAACTGCATTTTGTGTTTACTTGTGTTATCTTTGTCTAATATTTAAATTTGTTTGATGATCTGAAACATTTAAGTGTGACAAACATGCAAAAAAATAAGAAATCAGGAAGGGGGCAAACACTTTTTCACACAACTGTATGTCGCCTAACCTCTGTACATGTGAAGGCGGTTATATCTCTGGCTCACCCTTTGTTCCTGCTGCCGCCTCTGCTCTCTTTGTTTTGTTCCCCTCGTGAGTTGCACAAAAGGGATCAGCAGTCTCTGGTGACGATGAAAGAGACCAATTAAAAAAGGAATTCTACCGTATAGTCATTGCTCTTTGCACAGCTGCTTTATTTCGGCTGCAATTATTGGAGCTGGGCGATGCGTTTTTATCAGCGTCACATTACACACAGTAATTTGCAAACGTCTATGTCACTAAAGAAACACATTTACAGAAGTCCAGGTCCCATTTCTTTCAATTTAAAGGCAGTTCGGTCTCCCTCTGCTGAATGAGGGGAGGTGCTTCACGTGAACCGTGTCACCTTTCCAGTTCAACCAGTTCATGTTCTGGGTCATCTCTCATAGCACATTCTCTTTTAGAGTAAAGTGCCTCATGTGTAGCTACAGGTGTAACAGATGCACCAACACAAGTAACTCTCACTCTGTATATGTGTGTGTGTGTGTGTGTGTGTGTATATATACATAAACACATATAAAACGCATGTAGGTAGGCTTTCTACAACTGACACAATGTTACAGACACGTGACTTGACTGCATCAATTTGTCGTTCTTCCTGGGCAAACAACAGACACCATGCTGTCTCATGTTGTCTCACCGACGTCCTCATTGAAGACGATTCCTGCCCGTCCATTGGTTGTCCTGCTTCCTATGTTTCAATAAAAAGCTCCGCCCGTACCAGCAGTTGGGAAGAGCACCTGGCACTAGGATGCCAGTGCCCCCAGCTGTCTACTTCCAGCAATCACATCAGCCAGCCTCAGCAGGGGGAACGCCAGCACCCTCAGTCGCCTACCTCAGCGGTCGCATCAGCTTTCTCTATAGCCAGGGGGGCTCCTGGCACAGAGATGCCAGGTTCTTCTGTCCTTCAGCTTCACACATACCTCGAGTTCCTCGGAATCACTTTTTCCTCTTTGCCACTTACTGCACCAATACCGACTCCTCTCCTTCCTGGGCCACCTCAACCATTCTTTATCTCTCACCTGCTATCAACCGGACAATTCAAAACCGGGCTGAGCTCTGTCTCTGGCTCAACCTTCATGCTATAAAATAGTGAAGTTTTAATATGTGTTACTCTTACTATTATTTACTTATCTATCTATCCGTCCATCCGTCCGTCCAGGAATTAGTCCTTTGTTGTTTTCAATAATGATTTATGATGATGGGGCACTGTGGAAAAGAGGGAGGAACGTGGAATATGTTGTGAAACAGATGCAGGAAACAATCAAACGAGTGGAACAGTCATTGGGACGGGGATTTCAATTTCCTTTTGAGAAAACAACTACACTTTTCTTTACAAGAAAAAAAAATGGAACAGAGGTCAAAATGCATTTATATGGCATGGAGCTGAAAAGGATAGACTCGTTCATATTTTTAGGAATGTGATTTGATGCCAGGCTCACCTGGAATGTACATATTGGGAAACCTGGATGTAATCCGAGCACAAGCATTACAGATATGTAGTGGGCCTTTTAAAACAACATGTGTACCTGCATTGTATAGAAATGGGGGAGATGCCATTGGAGTTGAGAAGAATTTCAGATCATGATGACATATTGGGTCAGTTTACAGTACAAGGACATGACAACATCTGACAATAAGTTCTATTGAGTCATGCTGGGAACATGAAAAAAGGCCAACAGAGAGCTTTGGTTGGGTTGTTAAGAAGAAGGCTAGTGAATTGGGTTTACTGGATAGAAGTTATTCTCCCACTGTGGTTCTGCCAGTTATTCCTCCTTGCCACAGCCAGAAATTGATCTTGGCCTCCTTGAACTGATGAGATGAACGTTTACAGATTCATACAGATGGATCTAAAGACCTTAAGACTGGTAGAACAGCAGCAGCAGCAGCAGTAATCCCAGAATTCAATGTTGAGTGTGTGAGGAGACTTGGTGGTGACTTATCTGTGTTTGCACGTGAGATGGTGGCCATAGTTATTTACTTACAATCGGTAGAGGACGTCAGGCCAGAGAGAGGATTTATTGTATGAAATACTGTGATTACTATTCAGAATCCATCAGATGCAGCTGTGTGTTAATTGTGTGTGGGTCCCTGCTCAAAGTTAATGGGAATGAGAAGGCGGATAAAGCAGTGAAAAGTGCTTTGAAGAGTGGGAGGAATAACATTAATGTAAATACAAGTATGTCAGACACTAAAGTGGTGCTTAAGAGACAAATCAAAAAGATATGGCAGAACGAATGGAATGAAGGGAGTAAAGGAAGGTTTATTAAAAATTATTATTAAAAAATAAACTATTGGTTGGGAGTGCAGGATCTAGTGGACGAAATAGGAAAGAGGAGAGGATTCTAACTGGACTAAGGGATGGTCATACTGGTCTTAACAGTTCCCTCTATGTTATTGGAAAGCAGAATAATGGAAAGTGTGAATTTTGTGAAGAAGAAGAAACTGTGGTGATGTTTTATTGTTCTGTCAGAGGTACGATTCAGAGAGAGAAAAGCTTTGAAAAATGGACTGATTGGAGAGGAAAATATCATTAAAGTACAAAAGAAAAGCTTGAGTGACAAATATTGGAAACTTCCTCGAGAGTATTAAATAGAATTTGAGGAAAGGTTTTTTTCTCTATTTTCTCTTCTTTCATTCGTTTCCTTTTGTTTGTTTGATTATTTTAATCTTCTTTGTTTTGTTGTCGTATTACAGAGGCTATCCTTCGTCCACACTCCAGATTAGTGGGTGGCGCTATTGCACCCGAAATCTGTTTTGCCAACCGCCATTAAAAGCAACAGAAGAAGAAGAAGAAGAAGTCACGCCCATCGGAGTACGCTGCTTTGACGCTGTGCTGAGCCTCACACCGACGAGTCTCACCCGGCGGTGGAACAAACACAACTAACTCTCAAAGTTTTCTTTTTTTGTCTCGTCGGACGCGTTTTCTCCGGCTCCAGAACGCTCTTCAGCCGTGAAGTTGTTGGAGTGCACGAGGTGAGTGATGCACTCAGTCACAAAAAAATGACCGTTTTTGATGAGTGAATGGGGCACACGGATAACTCTCTCAGCAATTAGCGTTAACTAAGTTAATTAGTGTTTTTATCACAAGTTAACTGTCGGGTTTTAGCATATGGTCTCTTTTTGGTAAATCATTTGGTTACAGTTATGTGTTGTGGTAAAAGTGGACATTGTGGTTGCTGTCGAGGTTGACACTTGTTTCTCTTTCCACCATTTTATTGGCGTTCAAGTCCACTAAATTCCACGCTCTTCCTTTTCCATTACGGTTTGTGTTTTCCTGGCTTGTCGCGCGCGCTTCCTTTGGAGGTGAACAAGCAAGCGCGAGCCAACAGAAAGAAAGAGAGAGCGTTTGTGTGAGCGCGCGCGCGACGCTTTCATTCAAAGTCTTAAAAAGTTTTGTTTTTTTTCTCTCACCGCAAACCTCTCATTTCGAGTTGATTAAGTGCTGGAAGACGAGCTTCGTGGGCGCTTAAGAGATGTAGGACGTTGCCAGTATCTATCAGCAGCTAATTATATGTGGGAAGAGTTTGAGTGTGTGCGCGTGCGCGTTAACCACACGGGAGAGGTTTAGGGGAAAGCCCTTGTTTTTGAGTCCTGGTACAGGCCTCTTGTTGGTTGAAACAACAGCAAAACATCAGCTGATTTGGTGGGCAAGGGATTCTGAGTGAGGTGTGTGTGTGTGTGTGTGTGTGTGTGTGTGTGGGGGGTGGGGTTCCAGATTTCCAATGAAGATTGGTAGGGTGAGGGGGGATGGGTCATGACATAGTTTCAGGCAGGATGTGGCTGGCTCTAGAAGTTAGAGGTGCCCTCCTCAGATCAGCAGCAGACAGGTCAAAATGTCATCAGGCTACTTGTGACAGATTCCACACGGCTGAACTGGGTTGTTGTCGAACGCCTGCGTGTATACCTTCCTGTGTGTTCTAGCTTGTTCAGGGGCGGACTTCAAGGCTAAAATCACATTTTGCCAGTGCATATGTTTAATTCTAGCAGACCTGAGCGTGTAAGCAAATAAGCCGTAATGGCCTTTAAAAAAACTTTATGCTTAGTGTTCTTCATACTCGCATGTTTGGTAACAGAAATGATTTTTAACCATTTAAAATAACAATCATTGCATTTGGTGGTACCAATAAGACTGTATAGACCAGAATGCATTGCAGCCTGAAGGCATCCCATGCTGGGAGTACTGGGCATTATTGTGATCAAAATCGGTCCAATGCTGTGCTCCGATTCCATTCTACATACTAACTGTGTGCAGTGTGTATGCGATATAGTAATCCGAATAGTATTTTGGCAGTTTTGAAAACATAAAAATTGACGTACTTAAAAGTTTTATTCTAAGCAGAATGAATCAAACTGTCAATCAAATTCAGACCGTTAAAAAAAGATTTCCAAGCGTTTTTTTTCCATCACGTCCAGATGAGGTCTTCTTGGCATCGTTACAAGGCCAAAGGCACACAATCTGCAAAAGTCGTATTATGTGTTTTATGGCCATGTCTTTTTGCAACGGGGGGGGTTGTGAAGGCCTTACATGTTATTGTGCAATAAGATCTGGGCCCCGTTCCTCGTACGTGGCTAACTTAGTTAGCCAGATACTTTTCAGGATAAGATGACGTAGATATGGCTTTTCGGTTCCACGAAGCAAGTTCGGCAAAATCACCATGGCAACGCATCCATAAGCTTGAACCTGCTCCGGGGCAGGCTAAGTGAGGGTAGCTGGATAAGCTGGTCACTCCCCGGAAGAAATGGCAGCTCCTGTCATATACGGTAGTCTAATGCGCTTGCGCATATACTGGGGGTTATACGGGAGTTCCAGAAATGCATGTAAAGTGAGACACACGGTGATCCATAAAACCAGCTGAGCAAACTAAGAAGCCTCTATTGCATTAATGTACAGCTCCCTTCCTCAGAGATCCACTGATGAAGGAGGATATTAGTTAGATTAGCGTTTTATAGGGAGAGAGTTCTTACACATCGCCAAGATCCGTTATCGCATCATGATGACTTCCTATACGAGCGCTATCCATTCTGCCCACAAGGAATCATTTATTTACAGACCTTCTGGAGCCATACATTGAACACCACACGCTGCAGCCGAGCATTGATGTCTCACACACTGGATGCAGTATTGCGCTTTTTTGCGAGCGGTACATTGTTGTACAGTGTCGGCGATGCGGAGAACATCGGGAAAGCCGCTGCATGCCGTGCTGTTCGTAAAGTTTATTTGGCGCTTAATAAACTTATGGATGTGTTCAATACATTACCATGGCACATATTGTATTGACTCACCATTCTGAGTAATGTGTGTGTGCTTATAGTGTTTACTTGCTCCCATGTCCTCTTGATGGCTGCGTTGCATACATGGGGGTTAAAAGCACTCATAATTATATGACAGTGTTATTAGTACACCAGCATATCATTATTGTAGAAAATGATTAAGGTGGACTCATGATAAGAATAGAGAGAATCACACACTATTTTCACTGCTTCAATTGATTGAATTTCTGATTATGAATAATGCATACACACTGATCCGCCCACACACAGATTCAAACTCCTAGTTCTATATGGTAATCTACACAGACATGTATATACACATATATAGTAGGCTACATGATACATACGCGCATACAGTACATATGTCCTCATATTAATGAGTATCAATTAGATACTCTTTGGGCTTGTTTTATCTACTTATTCTGAAAGAGTTGAGATAATTATTTTCGCTATATTGGATGATAAGAATCATCCAATGAGCCATTAAGCCCACTGCCAGCAGTCACATTTAAAGACATAATCTGATTGATTGGGGTGATGAGGCATTAAAATGAGCCGATACGTTTCCTAACACTTACGCATTTAACTTGTCTGTGATATTAAAAGTAAAAAGAGGCTCTTTCTTTGAGTTTATTTAACATTGTACTGTTAGAAAATCATGGTTTCGGTGATCGACGCTTCCCCCTTTTGACGTAGGACGGGCACGCGCAATTATCCTGATCCTGATCGTCTGGGTCGAATTAACGAGACTGTTTGAGAGCGGATCAGCCTTGGAGAAACCGACATAGCCTGACATCAATCATCTCGTTAATTTAGGCTGGCTAATAGGACATTTGATCGACTTTGCTGAACCACGTACGAGGAATTGGGCCCTGCTGTGATAGTAACCCGTGGGCAACAAAGCCATGAGAGAGAGAGAGCTGCTGCATTCAGGGCCTTCCTCTAACTGCTGGAAAGAGTTGGAATCGCACTATCGTCTGCAATATGTTTGTACGCTCTAGTAATAAGATTTCTCCCATTTTTACCAAGAAGATATAATGTGTTGATACTTTACCTTTGAACAGTGCCAGGCTAGCGGTTTCCTCCTTGTTTCCAGTCTTCGTGCTAAGCTACGGTCAGCTAGGCGGCCGCAGGCTGTTGCTTCATGTTTATCGCACAGACGCAAGAATGACGCTGATATTATCCTCTGACTTTCACAAAGAAAGCAATTAAATGTATTTCCAAAATTGTTGAGCTACATCCTTTTAATAACAATTTTGAAAGAGTGTTATAAGGCAACCTATAACACTCTCAACTTACATATTTTTTCATTCTTAATTCATCTGGCAATTCATTTCTTGATTCATTTAGTTGGTTAATTTGATCAGAATTTGTTGTTTTGTCCAAGAAAAAATCCCAAATCCCCAAATATTCAATTTAGCATTATATTAAACGATAAGCTGGAGCGAGGTAATGTCAAACATTTGTTTTCTTAATTATAATAAACTAGCCAGTCAAACATCCAACCAGTCATGTTGCGGTTTACATCCATGTTTGTCCAAAATGTCACCCCGTCTTCATTTTATCCTATTTGACATTTGTGTGAAATTGCCACAATTAGCATTTACATTTTTGAGTTATGGCCCAAAATGTGTTTTGTGATATAACGGTGACCACCAAACCTGAGTTTGAGTGGACGTTTGTGCCAATTTTAAAGAAATTTGCTCAGTACTTGTGCTGGGCAACAGGACTATATCGACATAATATCTATATTGTATCGACATTATATCACTATGGTGATATGAGACTAGACATCGTCTTAGATTTTGGATCTCGTATTATGGCATAAGTGTTGTCTTTTCCTTGTTTTAAAGGCTGCAGTGAAGTGAAGTCATTTTCTGAACTCTCCACACTGTTGCCCACTCTGTCATTCTATCCACAATACTGACAATGTATATACAAATCTCGCAATATCGATATCGAGGTATTTGGTGAAAATCATACAGTGATATTTGATGCTTGAAGAGAAATGATGTCGATGACGCGGGAAGATAAAACAGCATAAAAAGGAGTGAGTCATGTTGTAGTGGCCGTCTGCATTTCACTCACCTATGTGTAATTGTGTTTCTTACCTGCTGGTTGCCTCAGGGGGGGGAAAAATTCCACTAAGTCGCATTGAAATATGACTGGAATGTCCCCGGGAGGCTTTTCTATTATGCTTATGCTTTGTGAAACACATCACCACCAAACAAGGGCGTACCAAACCAGCGATGATCCTCCAACTTTGCCACGTAGACAAATAGCCGCGGTGGAAACGGCCTTCAGCAGCAACTTTGTGCGCTCTCCGTGTTGGCAACATCAACCGTCATGGCTGACTTTAGCCTACCTTTTTAGTTTGCATGGACACAAGAGACCAGCTAATAGAAGACCCAACAGGACATCAGAGGCTGTGTGCTGTGTGCAGCTGGTTAACTGGCTGATTATGCAGTGAGAGAACAGTCTCTGTGAAGAGCGAGTAAGCAGCTTTTTACTAAACAGTGAAAACGTGCATGAATTTAAAGGCCCAGGGAAATGAGAAATGCATCTTCCCAGTTCCCACCCTGGGTTTGTTATTCAGTTATCTCTTGTTATATGTAAAATAAATCATCATAAAGAAACCTGTATTTTCTCTTCTGTTAAATGTTTGACTCATCCTGCCCTCAGGGTGTTTACAAAATACAAAA